GCCCTGGACATCATTAAAATTCGAGGCCCTACAATATTATATTGAAATCCATAGGTACACCAGAATAGCAGTCGTCAATCCATATATCTATAATCTATTTATCCATGGTATGTTATATATATATATATTATTGTATAAACGTGAAGCCCTTGGAGCCACGAGGCCCTGGGCGAGTGCCCCGTTTGCCCTGCCCTCGGGACGGCAATGGCTAATAGATACACTTCTTAACACGAAAAACTGCAAAAACTTCTTTTTTTTTTTAATAAATATTTCTGTTAAATACACACCATGTGCATAATAATCAAATATAATTAACTATAGGAATTTAAATAATTTTTTATACAAATTTCTAACTTTTTTTGGTGGTTCACGTACCACTACTACTTGTTACTATGCATAAATGCACTAAATAAGGATTTTTCGGAAAATCCCATTTTAAGGGCCAGAACAGTATTTTTTCACTTATTAAATACCTAGGTATATATTCAAGCCCGTACTGGCCCACCGAGTAACCGAATAATTGCACGATGTGCCCATGAAAATTACATTAACTTTATAATTATGGAGAGATTGAATTACATTATTTCTCAATAACAAGTAGCCGTTGAAATAACCTAACCCGATGGTCTTAAGAATTACATTATTGAAAACATTTTTGTTGAAAAATATGTATACGTAACACGTTACATGGGTTTTTATCAATAGTATGTTTCTAATGTTTAGTATTCAAAAAGTACCGCATTGTTCCACAATGGTGTATCAGTATAAATAGAAAAAAACTTTTAGTAAAATATTTTAAATATTATATATATTTATATTTATTATATATAATCTTAAAAATTTTAATTTTGTTAAACAAAGGGTAGGTGGAACCTCGCTATTTTAAACTCCGGTATCTCGAAGTTTCTGCATCTCGAATTTTTTTTTTTTAGTCCAGATCATACAGTATTGGACTTAAAATGTTTCGGTATATCGAATTTCCATTTATCGAATTTTTGTGTAAGTCAAAGTAATTATCCGGTACTCACCGCCTATTATGATTCACTAAATCGAATATGTGACAGACTAGATAAAGTATAAAATGCCCAGACTATAAAATCTAAGATAAATGACACAGCTTGTACACACAACGTTGTAAAACGTTGATATTTAATTATAGTTCAGCTAGTGGCCGATAACGGCAATAAAGTTACACGGACTTATATTCATGAACTTCAAAAACACGTTCCACAACAATTTCTGAAAATATTTTTTTTGCACTTAATAGTTTAGGTAGTATTATTGAAAATACTTTTAATACTAAACAAAAACAAACTAAAATAACAGATTTTCTACTTTCGCAGAAAATGATACTATATACTTACCCAAATTACAAATACTAATAATATGTATACAATATATAAATACACATTTTTCCCAAAATTTAAATATTTTTATTTCAAATTGTATTTATGTTTTAAATTCTTTCCGTAACTCGAAGTTTCGATATGTCAAAATTTTTTTTGGTTTCTTACGACTTCGAGATACTGAGGTGTGTGTGTGTGTATGTGTGTGTGAGTGATGAGTGAGCGTATGTATTACCGTCAATGATAAAAACATAGGTAATGTCGTAAAAATCAAATATTTTTTTAACACATTTACAACCATGACTAGAAAATTACCTTGATATCTAATACTGACAGAAAATATAAGATAAATTATATATAATTATTTATTTTCACGATGTATTGTACCGTGACACTTTGAATTGCATAAAATATTAATATTTTTACAAACTCTATATAAGTTTTGTATCCTATTTTACAAATACCTACATCTAGTACATCTTTGTGATTCAGCGATTCTATAGCCATAACCTCATGAACGGTAACTTCTTTTAATTAAATAAATCGATTTTACAACGCAAGGCCGTTTCTAATTCAACAAAAAAATAATTGATTTAACTTTTTTATCAATTGTGTGTGAAACAGCCCGGAATTGTCGTCATTACCTAGGAAATATTTCTAAATGTATCATTGTCTGGAAGTAATGGACATTAACGTTACTTCCTAGTCAATATCATAAACTGTCTAATTTGACCGGAAATATCGTTATTGGCTAGGAATTTATGTTAATTCCTAAATTTATGTCTTCGCTGGTAACATATGTATTAAGTTTATATTTATTTTTACAATTTTTTAGATAAATAAAGCTAATAAAATTAAGATCCTGTATCCCATCATCTATCGGACCTTGACCTAAAGGATTAAATAACAAAAATTAAGACACTCTTAAATGTTTTGAAACCACCCTACAAGGTCAGCCAGTAAGAGCCCGCGTACATTTCATTTCAACATATGGACTAAAAATAAATATCATTAAACATACGACAATAGTGTGCTTTTTTCTATATTTCTGCATCGAAATAGAAATTACTTTCGTATAAAAAAAAAAAAATCATAAAACGAGGCTGAGCAATTCATCTGGTAAATCTACACACGTCAATACTAATTGTACTGTGTACGCGCATAAAACGGTATGGTATCGTATTAGATTACCAATGCAGTTAGGACCGTAGTGACCAAATATTGCGCCCGGGGCAAAACTTCAAAATGTGTCTTAAAGAATTTTAATTTTTAAAAAACACTGGATATTTTTTTAAACGCAATATAAATAATGATTTTTCTTTATAATTATTTAAGCGTTTGTTAATTTCATTTAAATCAATCACTTATTAAAATATAAAGATACTTTATAATTATAAGTACATAGGTATAACATAATTATATTTATAAGTTATATAAGTAAATACATAAATAAATAATATTACTTTTACTTATAAGTGATAAGTTATAACTTATAACAATTAAATTCCAAATTTTTCATTTTTGCGCCCTTCTAAGAATTGCGCCCGGGGCGTAAGCACCTCTAGCCCCCTCATTGCTACAGCCCTGAATGCAGTACCGTAACCGATAACGATATGTTAAACGCGAAAAGAACTCGAAAACGGATAACGAACCGTGACTCGTGCGATAACGTACTGAAATTAGATGTTCAAACAACATCAAGAGTGCAGCGCAGAGGCATAAATAAATACTTTTTCATACTGCACACTCGAGGATTCGTCATACACCCATTTCAAACGTTAACAGTGATGAGCCACACGGCTGAAATAGTTGGTGTTTTAGATTTTGCTGACGATACGTATTGGAATTTTAAAAATATATGTAAAATAATTGAACGAAAAAATTTAAAATTAAAAAAAAAAACAAACACCATAATACCGAGAACATAACCACAGCACACTTTTTGATTTCGTACTGCACACTTAACATTTCGTGTTGCACACAGTTTTAGTCCCTGGCGCAGAGACTTGACAAATCGTTACGTACCGCTACGGTACTGTTTCCACCGAGAACCGCACACGTGGTACTCGTATGCGCATACGACGCGTGTTATGTCACCGAAAGCGTTTCGGTACGAAAAAACGTGTTAACCGAGCGCGGCGGTAGAACCGGGTGTGCGCGCCGGCGAAAGGCACGTGCGCAACGCTCGGTTCGGCGGAGGGGCGGCTAAGGATCGTGTTGCGGGCGACGCGGTCGCGGCGCAAAAGTAGAGGAGATCAATCGAGGGAACAGAGAAGTGCAGCGGCGTGCGTGACCGTTTACGAGAACGTTACGTATTGTACCACCGTCCTCGCTGCAAAACGCACGTGCACACACGCGCACCACTCGACCGCGCAGACGTGTACTGCTGTGCACCGGAACAACGGACTACGCGATCGGACCAGGGACATGCGTTCCACGGGCGGCGGCGGCAGGACGCTGCAGTGCGTGGCGGCCGTGGTCGTAGTGCTCGGTTTGGCAACGCCCGGCCACGGCATGGCGTACACCGTGTTCCAGGCGGTGGTCGAGTACTACCGGATGCTGGGCCCGGGGCCGGCGGACGCGGTGCCGGACGCGGCGTACGTGAAACAGCATTACGACTTCGTGGTGGTGGGCGCGGGCTCGGGCGGCTCCGTGGTGGCCAACCGGCTGACTGAGGTGGCCGGCTGGTCGGTGCTGCTGCTGGAGGCGGGCGGCGAGGAGAACGCGATGACCGAAGTACCGCTGTTGGTCAGCTACCTGATCGGCTCGGGCTTCGACTGGGGCTACCGGACAGAGCGGCAACCGGGCATTTGCGGTGCAATGGCGGACAAGCGGTGCCGGTGGCCGCGTGGCAAGGTGATGGGCGGCACTAGCGTCATCAACTATATGGTGTACACGCGTGGCGTGCCGGACGACTACGACCACTGGGCGCGGCTGGGCAACAGCGGCTGGTCGTACGCGGACGTACTGCCGTACTTCCGCAAGTCCGAGGATGCCAGACACGTGCCGTCGCCGTCCACGTACCAGTACCACGGTCGCGGCGGCTACCTCAAAGTCGAGGAGCCCACGTGGAAGACACCACTGGGTCCGGTGTTCCTGCGCGCCGGCCGTGAGCTCGGCTACCAGGTGCCCGCGGACCACAGCGGCCCGCGACCGCTGGGTTTCTCGTACGTGCTGGCCACCACGGACCGCGGCACCCGGTGCAGCGCGTCCAAGGCGTTCCTGCGGCCTATCAGGCACCGGCCCAACCTGACCGTGGCCAAACACGCCACCGTCACCAAGGTGCTCATCGACGCGGTCTCGAAACGCGCGTACGGCGTGCGGTTCGTGCGCGGTCGCCGGACCTTTGAGGTGTACGCGCGTAAGGAGGTGATTCTCAGTGCCGGTGCACTCAACACGCCGCAACTGCTCATGCTGTCCGGCGTGGGACCGGCCGACCATCTGATCGAGCACGGCATACCCGTCATCAGTAACCTCAAAGTGGGCTACAACCTGCAGGACCACATGTCCATGGCCGGTCTGGTGTTTCTGGTCAACCAGTCAGTGACCATTGTGGAGAGCCGTTTCCGGAATCCCAAGTATCTGGTCCAGTACGCGCTCAGAGGACAGGGACCGTACACCATACCAGGTGGTGCGGAGGCGCTGGCGTTCACGGCCACGCGGTTCGCGGTCAACGGGTCCAGGGCCCCCGACATGGAGCTGGTGTTCGGGCCCGGTGCGCTCACCGGTGACACGGGTGGCTCGCTGCGTCGGTTGCTCGGCATGAACGAGACGTTCTACGATCAGGTGTACGGCAAGTTCCTGGAGCACGACGCTTGGGGCCTGGTGCCGATCCTGCTCAGACCATATAGCCGCGGCCGCGTCAAGCTCAGGTCGTCCAACCCGTTTCACGCCCCGCTGTTCTATGCAGGCTATTTGACGGACGAGCGAGATCGTAACACTCTTGTCGAAGGCATAAAACAGGTACCTTGACTCGTAGTTATATTCGGGTTGAATTCAACCGGTCACAAAAGTCGATCATATTTATAGATCTTGTATCATTTCAAACGTAACAAAAACCTTACATAGTCTCACAGAAATCTCGTTATAACTACGATATTCGTTTTACTCTGATATTGTTATAATTGAAGATCACATTTCAAATTATCTGGAATATTTTATGTTCAAATATTATATACATATTTATTTATACTTGCGTAGGATGGGTCTTATTGGCCATAGCTGATATATTATCATAGGTTCAAAATAAACTAAAATTGATTTTCGTTAATGAATGTTGTACGCGCAATAATTAATATTTAAAACATAAGTCATTAAAATACGTGTTACAAATATTTTCAACATCGACCTCGTTACATTATTTCTCACTAGCTACAGTGCATACATTAAAACGACATAATGTTGTATGTAAATTTAACAATTTAACAAGTGTAGTTTCATTATTGCACGCGTGGTCATTCAATGTTGACACCGATATCGATTATTTTTCTGCTTGACCAAATTTTAAGGGTAAACACTTGATATTAAGGTTTGTTACATACGAGTACATTGATAGCTGCTTTTTAATACGACTGATGAGATATTTTTATTCGGCTACATTCTTATTTTCATTTTACCATACACGTGAATGTTGTACTTATAATTATGAATATTCCACGCTCGAAATAATGTTAGTAAATATTGTAATTTTTACGAACGGTTTGTGCATCGTGGTTACGTGTGGTAGGGGGGGTGTACCACACGTGTACGAGCGACGCATAAGTTGCACTCGTATTTTCGTGTATTCGTTTGTTAGCTAGTATACTATGGTATAGGTATCTATTGGTGTACATATTTGTTCAACAGGCCTATTACGAGTTAATGTTCGTATTTCCATGGATATGGTTTATACACGTGTATGTTTACGTATGTTCTCCGAGGCTTATGGAAAGTTTATGGACTTTTTATTTTTATTTTTTTGAACCCGTGACGCAACTTTGGAAGTTTCACTTTCATTAAATATAAAAAATAAATAAATATATAAATTACGACCGTGTGCTCGAACTTCAACCGCTTGTTGGACGTAGTAGCCATCTGTATGTTAAACTAGCTCAATACTCTCAGTTTTTTTTCTCTTACATAAATATAACTTCTACACGTTTTCGTATTGTATAACACTCGTACAAGCGTTGGTTCCATAGGACGTTGCTTGTAATGTATTTATTATTCGTTAATGCGTACACCTCCGCGTTAATGTACCATGACCGAGGACGGAAGAGGAAGAACTCATTTTTCAAATACGGTGCGGATTTTATTAACATAATCGGTGTGTACAGTAACGGTCCACGTACACTATATACATACACATCTCTCGGCCGTGTAAAAAAATTCTTAGGAGTTTTCTCTTTCGCGTACGAAATAATATAAAACGCCTAGAACACACGTTTCACGGTCACTTAACGTTAAGTATCTGCCATGGAAAACGAATAAAAAAGTCAACAACATACATGTTACGGCAGTTCAACGATCGCGAAACGCGTACGGCGCGAGGGATGGTGAACGAAGGGTGGACTGTTACACAACGCGATACGATAATATTTTATCGGACGCGTACTTTTCTACGTTTTCCACGGTCAACCGGTCCGGAAACGGTGAGTGTTTCGTGTCTTACTCCGCACGTAAGTCGCGTAACACGTAAACCGTTCGTTCGCGTTATTTTTGCAACGACTTTTTGGTTTTATTTTTTTATTTTCTCGTTTCCTAATTCGGCGTTCGTTTTGGAGACGACGGGTTGCGCGTACCGATGCAGATGTACCCATCGCACCCGCCCGCCGGTCGCGCCGCGAACCATTATCGGTACCGATCATAACAGTTGCGCGGTATGGTGCCGCGCGACGACGTCGTCTCGTCGCGCGTCACCGTCGGCGCGAAGAGCTTTTCGCCACCCGGTCGGCGGTATTCGTTCACGACAGTTTTCTCCGTTCGTTTGTTTTATTGTTTCCGTCGACCCAATCCGACGGTCGATAAAACGTGCACGACGTGACACCAATCACAAACCACGGGTTACGACGACAACAACGACAACAACAACAACAACAACAGCGTTAGCGACCAAACTCGTTACGAGAATGGTGTTTACATCGCGTGCCGCGGTGTTACGAAATCGCAACGACGGCGCGGTCCAACCGGTTGCCCGGCCGTCGGTATATTTAGGTTCGGTCCCGACCCCCCTCCCCCCCACCTTAACATGCGCCGTTCCACGGGCACCGCGGACGACAACTCGATCGGACCGCGCGACGCGCAAAACGATTACGCTTTGCCGAACAACACTTTCGAGATCGTCCACCGGCCACGAGCGTTGGACCTTGACGCGGGACGCAGACGACCGGCCCGCAGGCCACCGCTGCCACCGAACCGCCGCTCCAGACCCGTTGCGAGGGGCAGGGAGGGGAACGCGCTATAGTTCGTCTCGCCCCGGCGGCCTTGTACTCGTTACCGATCCGGTCAGTAGAAGATCGCGAACAACGGCCGCCCGAAGGCAGCCCCCGGTTAGTACACACTGCTCGGCCGGATCGTTTTCGTTTCCACGATCGCGCGCGCACCACCTGTCGTCGAATCCGATTTCCCTACGACCACGGGTTTTCAGACCGCTCGTGGGTTCGGCAAAGAAACGAACGGCGAAAGACGAGAATAGTAAGATCACGTCCGCGATTCGAATTCGTTGTGGATGGTCCCGCGACTTCGACCGGTAACGCCGTGGTCAAAGTGCAACGGGCCGGATGCAATGCACACTTCTTTTCATTCAAGTCCGTGGTTCGCGCACATTTTCCGGTCAACAGGGGTTTTTAAACGTAATCAAGTGTACGTTTGTTAACGAGGATTTGACGTATACAAAACGTACGATCAATCCATTACGCATCATTACCGCAGTTATAAAACGATTAAGAATAATTTTTAATTATCTACCGAATGAACGAAAATGTGCACAGTTCAAATTCATGAAAATAATTCGTATTATTGTTGTTTGTATACTATTCAAGATACGTTTTAGTACATCCTTGGGAATTTCCGTTGTTTAATTAATGTTTTCGAGACACTAAAGTAAAATATTATTACCGCCCATCCACTAAACGGTTATCGACATGCCATTTCGAACAACTGTGCCGTAATGTGGTGGTATGTGAGCCTGACTAAAAACAATCTAACATTAAAACCTTTGTTAGCCGGGCCATATGTTAATAACTATATTATATTCGTATTGGGTTTGACAAAAAATCCTAGACTTATCCACTAGTGCGTCTTTGACCGTTGTAGATATAATTTTTTCTGATAATCGAACGTATTGCGAATTCAATTTCAGTTTCAAAACCAATCTAGTATATGATTTTATTTTTACTGGAACTTACGAATACGTTTGAATTGAAATTGCATGAATACAATTTACGCCTCATAAGCGGTAAGACTCAATCGTATTTGCCAGTTTGCCATGTGTTCGACAGAATTTTGAGTTTGAATGAATGCTTATTTATACTTAAATTTATTAATAGGAATAACTTTTAATCGATACACTACGTACGAATATTATTATACGTTATAATTTTTTGAATTAATACTTTTCACGTGTTGACCTATTTTATTTGAATTATTATAAATTATTCGAAAAAAAAATTATGCACAACTTGAAATTTTATAATTTATTCTTATTTTGTAGATGGTTTAAAATATTTGATAGTTTGATATTTTATATATTATATAGTAGGCACCTTTACCGGAACTCCGTATTACTCGTTTATTATATTTCAAGTGTGCGTGATGTGTGCTTGCAATATACATTTTCAAGTGTTTTATTTATTTGAAATACTCGTTTATTAGTTATTATAGAACACTATTATTTTTTTAAAGAAATAATAATTCATACAGTATATAATCTAAATGTAAATGCAATATAATATAGAGATTATCTTAACGGAACAAGATTGTAATCTTTCATTGTATTCTATTACAATGTAACAAAATGTGTTATACACCATATAAATATTTCAATCTTAATCGTATCGAGAAGTTATTTATATAATACAATTGAAAAGATAATTAAACGTGTAATGAAACGCTCTAGGTACCTTGAGTATTTAAGGTTTAATAAATAAAAGTTTAAAAATAATAATTCTTTTAATAGTAATTATAATTATCAATCAACGAAATATAAAATAAATCAAATTCATCGAAATTTTTCAGTTATATTATCTAAATGACTTTGTTTTAAACATATTTTAGTTTTCATTTGACTACTATTTAATAATATGATACCTATACAATAATCATACTCAACCTTGTTCCAAATATTTGATTGCGAACAAAAGTAAAATTGACATTTTACTAAATCATAAATGTGTTTTGTATGAATAATTTAAAACCATTATTTTGCATGAGATTTTAAAAATTGATTAGAGCTTTAAAATATGTGTTTTTGCATGACGATATTATTAAATATAAAAGCACAACAATTATCGATCAAACGAGCTTTGGCTATTAAAGGACTAATATAATATCTAAGTATAGAATAAATAAATAGTATTCTTTGAGTTAAGTGATTGACAATTGAAAAACAACGTTTTAATGTTGTAATTGTTTTAATAAGTCCAGTTTAAATTAACCATGCATTTCGTATAAATTTATAAGAAAAACCTATTATGTATTTAGCTTATTATTTCATGTTCGTTTTTAACTAATTGTCCAATTTTATGTGAATTGCACATAATCTTAAGGAATTAATGATATTCTTTTACGGGATTAAACTTTCTGCGCGTTTAATCAACACTCATTTTACCCACCTAATACCAGGCAATGATAAATTTATAAAATTATCAACTCATAGTGCGAGCGTATGATATCATTTTTATTTTTTACGACTTTATATGTTTATAACATAAAATGAGTGATTAATTATCACGATAAGTATGCATGCGGATAACTTTCATGCACGTGAATAAAATCAGCCACACAGTGGTAACACTTTACAACTGATTCGGTTAAATTTCAATTGTCTGATAGTTATGTATTAATAATAGATTAACTTGATTGAATGTTGCGATTCACTTTATTTTTGTGCCAAACTTATCACATCTGTTTTCGCAGGCAATCGCGGTAAGTAAGACCCGGGCGTTCCAAAAATACGGGTCCAGACTGTTGCCGATACCGTTCCCGGGCTGCGAGCACAAGCCGTTTATGTCGGACGCATACTGGAGGTGCGCCATCGGGCTGGTGTCGACCAACTTACACCATCAGTCGGGCACGTGTAAGATGGGACCAGACTCAGACCCAGACGCAGTCGTCAACCCCCGGCTCAGGGTGCGTGGTATTAAAGGGCTCCGAGTGGTGGACACGTCCATCATGCCGGTCATACCGGCCGGCCACACTAATTCCATGGCATTCATGATTGGCGAGAAAGCGGCGGACATGATCAAGGAGAGCTGGCTGATGTAACACTCGCTGCAAGAAATTACGATGATCATTGTTCATCCTCAGTTCGATTATCACTTGACGTTTTGGAAGATAACTCTGTAATGTTACACTATTCATGTCCGCTCAGAAACGAATTTCGTCCCTTATTTAGATAACAGTTGCAAACAGATAGCTTTCAGCATTATTAATTTTACTATTTTACATTTTACGTTATTATTTTTAATGAAGCAGCGAATTATTTGCAAACGCTTTTGTCTGAATGGTATTCCTTAAAATTATCAATTGTTTACTGTTACCATAAAATACTGAAAAATCAAAATAGCGAATACCATTGATTTACTAAAATGTCCCCTGTAAGTAATCGTATCAGCCGTTTGAGAACCATTAAGTGTCCCGTACTTAATGTTTTCCAAGACCATGATCGATACTTGAATTTAAATTTAAATACATTTATGTTGAATTCGACAAATCTACTACGTCTTAAAACATCATGAATTCGTACACAGAATCAAATGACTCTTCACGATGAAGACGCATCTCGTAAGTTAATTTTAAAGATTGTATGAATTAGCAATCGGAAACACGTGAGCGTAACACGTGAGAATAGTCTCCCAATTCGACTTACAAAACTAATTTCATGGAATCTCATCTGAATAATATTTTTAATGTTTTTCGATTACGTATACTCATTCCATCGTTTGAAATTAAACATTATATAACATTTAACCGCACAAAAGCTCTAACAGAAATATTACTCAATCATTTGTTTTCATCATAGAATAATGCTAAACGGTTATGCTAATAATAATAATAATTATAACTTTATTAACAAAAATTAACTCAAATTTAATTTTTACAGAAATTTTAACCTTAATCTAATTAAATTAAATTTTAAATATATATATAAATTTGTCACCTATACATATACATATATAGGCGTTAAAGAAATATAGCCATTCAAATAATTTAACTTATCTTCATAGTATTTATAATTTTGTAACCAAAAACTGAATCTTATGTAGATCAATAATTATTTATCTATTACTAATTATTAATTATACCGTATTAGTATAAAAATGCAGTGACTACGATTTATGGTAATAAGTGATGGATAACACTTTTCTTATTTATGATCAAGTTGTAATTTAAGATAGTTGGTAATTTATATTTTATTTAAATTTTACACATCGAGTAATTTATTTATGGTTGTTCAGACGAGAATAGTGAATTTAATGAAAACGGTTAGGTGTATGGAAGCGAAATGGCATCGTTTTGTTAAAAAAAATTTCTTATATATTATGAAAATGTATTAAATTATAAATTATTAATTAAAAACATAATATTATTAAAAAACATAAGTTACCGCTTTTAACTTAATATAGAGAGTCTACTCTCTATATTAAAGTCATTATAGACTGAATAATAATTAATTAATTAAATTAAATGTTGTTGTTGTTGATGTTTTAATGATTTTTATTAATTATTGTGAATTAAAAGCAAAATTATAATGTAAATATAATAACATAAATTATTATTTATGATGTTTGTTTGTACATGACTATAAGTATGAATAAATATAATCGTTTTAATTATCATTTGTTGTAATATAATATAAATATATATGCCTATAACAAGAATATATAAATTATTCGATTCCGAATAGAAAGAATAATAATAATATTTGGGTTATATAATATTATTATAAATGTAATAAGCGGAAACAGTGTTCTAAAATCTTCCTTCATAAATTGAAAGAAGAAGACCCGATATATTATACGAAAACAAGATGTTTATAATAACTTGGCATTCTCGGAAAGAAATGAAATAATTCAATGCAATCAATATAAGGTTTGAATAAATTCTGTATTAACCATTTATTTTATTATAATTTAAATAATTATAATAAAATGTATTAATCAACAAGTATTTAATATTCAATTTTTATTATAGATTCCAATAAATATTTTTCAACTTCAACTTTATTTAAAATATATAAATTTAGTCATAATTTCACCATTAAAATTAAATACATTATTAATGTTTAATTTGAACATTAATATTATAACTATTAATTCAAAATTATAAGAAATATATAAAAGGTAAAAATATTATTTTATTTTCTTCATTAAATACGTATAAGTTAATTTTATTGTTTCACCTGAATTATTAGAACAACAATAAAAACCATAATTTAATCATTTGAAGATAAAACGTGTAAATATTAGATAATATAACTACTTTTTTATATTAGAAAAGTATAAAACTATTATTTAAAATCAAAGTAAACTAAGAAATTGCATATGAACATGGCATTCAACAAGTGTTCATATTTAGGACAATATAAATATATGTAATGTCAATTTTCAATATGAATTTTCCAACTTTAAAATTGTTCGGAAATGTTTATTTTTGTTTGAAACAAAGCCTTAGCCTTTATTTCTAAAATAATGATTGATTAAACGGCTATAGAATTTATACAGATTTAAAAAATGAAATATACGTACTTGTACTAGACAGAAATAATTCCTTAATTTTGTTGGTAATTTTTAAATTTTAACAATCCCAAACGTAATTTAACGAATTGCATTTATTACTGTTGTTTAATTGAAATAATTGTAAAATATTTTTATTTCATATTCTATTATAATTTTTTTTCTTTTAAAAATCGAAACACTGTACATTTTGGCACTATAGTAACTATCCATATTCTAACAAAGTTAATTAAAAAACAATAAATAACCATTTTATATCAATGAATAAATATTATATAATTCCACATTTTAGCTGTGAATTTAATGTAAATTAAAAACTAATATACGACCATCTAAAAATAATAATTATTATTAGTAATTATGGTAATAAAATTAAAATTTATAATTTCTAAAATATAGAATTATAATGGACAATCATTGTATCAATGTATCAATGTATTATTATTGATCGCCTACGATTTATATTTTGACATTCAGCTTATAGTTATTATTTATAGTGTTAATATTCTAAATTGACTGTATAATTTTCTCGTATAGTAAGTTAGGTTGAAGTATATAAAATAACATATTTAATCATATTTACATATATGAAAAATATTAATTATTTCCCGTTTTGTTGATATCAAATTGATGGATAAAATAATTTTTTTTTTTTGTATTGAAACATCAACAATATAAATTTAAAATAAAAATTTACTTAAGTGTTATAAAACAAAAAAAATACCATGAACTATGCTATTTAATAGGTTAAATCGTGGTCATAGGATGCTCGAATAATATAATATGCCCTTTTAAACATTTAAGGTAAGGAAACTATTGTTTCATTTTGAGTTTTTTTTTCCTGATAATACTTTCCGGAACAACGAACCTGCTTCTTTATAATGAAAACTTTTATACATTGTACTTATACTAAGGTTTATTTTTATTTTTTATTTTTACATTCATAGAAATGTCAATATTGTCTTATTCGTACTTCGTTTATCAATTCAATAATTTATAATGTGACTACTAATAAAAGTTAAATTTAAAACGATTCAAAGAAAAAAAAAACGGTATTAAATCGAAATTTAAATCGCTTAAAAATATTATTTGAACGCATCGTTTAGTTATTCTTTAATGAGTATTTAAAACAATAGAAATACTGACTGAAGTGACTGAAGAAATTATGCGTATACATGTGTCTGCTTTCGGATTGTTATACAATTATAGAGTTCGTTCAGACCATATAGTACAAAGGTATTATTATGGTATGCATACGAAATGTTGACGAAAAAGATACTACTGTGATGTAAAGATTTATCACTATATTTTTAAATGAAAAGAATACTGTAACATCGTCTTTTTACTTTTGCAATCAATATTTGTATAATGCCGTGTAACGATAAATTCTTATATTTGCGCATGGTAAATAATAATAAGATTTATTAGCTAATTTCAAACATAATACCATCACATCTGTCGTAATTTCTCCCAATGATTTCAACCGTAGGGAATGTGTTCTAAACCAACCAGGTTGTAAATTAAAGATTGCCAAACATTTTGAGCATGTATCAAATTCGTATTTTTATCATTGGATTTACAAATACAAGACGATAACTTGTTGTCATACCACACTTTACATGGATTTTGCGTTAAGTAATTGGCGAGATACACTATACGGTGACTGTTGTTCAATTGAAATAGTATACCGATACATTATATTATATTACATTGTATTACTATGGGTATTTTATAACAATAAGTGAATACTTTTATATTTAATTAAAGGCGAATATTTTTTTAGTAGAATTACTAATACTCTACAAACATTTTTAATTTTTTTATTTCCAGATATGAATACGCATAGTAGTGTACATGCCGATATAATATTTATGTTATCACATTGGAAACTATTAATCGTTATACATGATAAATATAAAGTTTTAACATTGTATATACAATTTGAGGATGGATATACACTATTTTAAATCATAATTTAGAATTTAAATTTTGCTATTCACGATATTATTGTTTTTTTTTTTTTTTTTTTTTAAGAGGAAATTACTTACAGAAATGTTAGTCTCAATGTAATATATAATAAATATTGCAAGTCAGTATAATGATGTTCATAGTGTTCTCAGCGTGTGCGCTTTAGTTGTATAGCACACATTCCAATACAATAGTGCTTTAATTTATACAAACCAAAATACATAAAAATCGATAGAATTTTAAATCTTCGATATTATATTAATAATAATGAAAAAATATTTTAAACAAATTAGCTCAATCATATTTTAAAGACATCGCTGATAATCATATTATATAACGATAACCAAAATAAAAAAATATACAGTCATATTAATACTGTTATAACGCATACTTCATGACGTAAAAATATTATATTTAATTATTACTCTCCGGAAATTCAGCTTGTTTTAAACACAAGATACTTTGGAGAAGTTACTTTTTACTTAAGTCATTCACGTCTAATTTTAGAAATTTTTACGTGCCGTAATAGGTTTGTTTTTGTTGTGCCTGAACAATAACTATTTACAATTGACCCCATGTGTTTTAGTGCGTTATCTATGAAAATCATTGATCTATACTGTATATATATCTTATACGTTCTTTAATGAATAATTGGCAATCGAACACGAATCGATATGAGGGCCGCATTTCCCCTTCATCCTACTTTTATTCCAGCTTGTTTTTATTCATTTTCATGGTTAGTTGAATAATTATGATTACTCATCATAACGGGGTTCACTGTAATCCATTGAATTTAGTTGGATAATATCCAATACGATATCAGTTGTCTTATTTGAAATGTATATCATTTACCATCCATATAGTGTGATAAACAAATGCAAATATATAGTTATTTCATACATTTTTTTACTCACATTTTTTCTTCGAGTTTTCAACTGTCGATAGTTTATTAAGTAACTTAACAACTGTTAAAGTTAGTTAAGTTATACGCTTTACTTGATGTGAACATTTCTAAAAATGTTACATTTTTTTGAAATTTAATTTCAATCAAAACTATTTTAACGTCAATATTTAATGTAGGTAACCGTTAATTATCATGTTGAATTATTATGATGGACCAAAAATCTAATCGTGTAGAGGTCTACGTGATTATTCATTCCCGGTGAGCATAGCTCACATATTTTCATTCCGTACATATTAAGTAATCGGGTAGTTCTGACACTCCCATGCAAATATTATTATATTCATACAGCACAATCATTATTGATAAACAATGTGATGTTTATCATCACTGTGGCATTTTGATCAGATAATGTTCAGTAAATGCGTGCATAAACTGTTATCAAAACATGACA